TTAAACTGTCCGTTGCCCCTCGGTGCTTTTCTGCAAAATTCAATGATGAAAACATCCTGACACGCTCCGATTCCTCCGGGATATCAGGTCATTTACACTTCACTGCCCTTTGGAACTATTTAAATGATTTTCCGTAGTACATAGGTAAGATCAAAAGCCTTCTAAAGCTGTTGACTAATTATGCCGGAATTATTTACTTACTCTACAATCCAGTATTGTTTATCATCTATAAGCGCCAACATCGAAGAAACAGAGTTGTTTTTCATAAAGGAAACTACACACCAGGTTGCTGAAAACTCTTCGACAGCCCACGACCGGTTTTGCCCTTCCAGTTTGGGCTCATCTGGTGGGCGCAGTCCCCGACTTTCCGTCAACCTTATGATCATAAGATTGCCGTAAGCCCGCTTAACTCAGTCAAAAGTTGAGCGACTGTCGGAAAAGGCGAAATATCCTCATAGTTAAAAAACAGCGGCAGTCTAGTCACGTGTGGTAGTTATTTGCCGCCCCATTCATCAATGGTCGAAGGTATCTTGAAGTACTTTTGCAAGTAGGATATCTCGACTCTAAGTGCAAATAAACTCTGCAATAGAATGATCGTGGTTGTCCTGTGAAGTACACAGTGAAGCAGCGCGCAGAGAAAACGCTTTGAAAAAACCGGTATTTTAGCGAGCGGTTGCTAGGCAACTGAAAAGAATCATTTTGAAGTGACATATTGCGAGACAGGCTAGGAGGATTGGTACTGAGTAATTTACTTGAAAATCCGTTCCTCAGACTTCGGAGATTACCTTGAAATATATCGGATACTGTTACAGCTATTGTGGATTACACATATTTCCGTTTTGGAGAAAAAGCATCCTCTATTACTTTTCGATAAACTGTCACCACGTCTCCGGAGTGGACTACAGTGTAACAAAAAGTAGAACGACACTTTAACTCAACTCGGACAGTATCGTGTCATTGCGAATGCTCAACCTCCGTAACTGGGCTGCAAAGGGATCGTTTCACCAAAGGACACTACATAACAATTGTCACAACGTGGTGCGGAGTCTGTCTGTTCACACAATTGTCTTTCGGTTCATTGGCAGTCTTTGTCATGGTGCTGTTTCTTCGTGCTGTATCCGACTTCCTATCCTACACGGTTCAGCATTTTACGACGTCGTTTTGGCTCATAACTCTTATAAAGCCGGAAACCTTCAAGAGATTTTGACTGGCCATTCTCACGTTGACAGTGAAATCCGAAGGCTTCTTATGAAAGGAAGGAAGTCCTCTGCTGCGAAGTCATTTTTTCAAGCAAACACGAACTAAGCAGTCACAAGTCATTAGACATGAAAGTATCTCGTATGCACATAGTCTTTGAAAACCCTCACGCATTCTCTTCAGCTTTCCTGATTATTCATTGGCACTATAGTATACGAACACTACAAAGTAGTTCCACAATTTCCGTAATAGACTTTACTCTCCACCACATTCAAGGCGGAGCTTAGAAACGAAGCACAGACTACTCACATGCTTCATCAGTACTATTTGTTGCTACACTTGTACCGGCGGATTGCGGTTCAGTCTCTGAACCACTCTGATGAGGAAGTCTTTTATTATTATGTTATTCTTCTTAAGAAGTCTTGACATTTGTGGAATATTTGAGAAATCTCCCTACTACTAGGGTCACGAAAACTATGGAAATTTATTTCGGCCACAGGAATGAACCTTTTTTGTCAGCGAATGTGGATAAAATAAGAACCGGATAAAAAAACGTTATCAGATAAGTTCATTTCTGTTATTTCTACAGACGGCACACGTAAATTAGTCAATTAGCTTTTTATGTTTAATTCTGGCTAATTTTCTAGCGGACTTTCTAGCGCTATCTTTAGCCTTCAGCAGTTCGGGAAAGAAAAGAACGCCCTCTGTGGATTTCGAATTTTTTCAGCTTCTCTTGTTGCTTCTCTAGTGCTTGAAAGCTGAGTTGCCGTATGGTTACTCTACAAATTCCGTGACATATGAAGGAACATGAAATACTGATGGGTGCTCTGACCAGACTTATCAATGAACCGATTCAACTAAAGAGACTATCACCTATGTTTGTAAGCGTTGACTAGGATGATTTAGTTAATACATACTGATCGGAAGTTGACCAAATAAAACGATGTCAAGCCCGGAATTATGTGGATCGGATTGCAGTAGAAAGTATAAGATTTAAATGATTGTCTTGATTTTACTTCCTTTTGATTAGACATCGAATAGATGGAGGATAGCACCTATTTTCAGATTTTTTGTAGATTTTGTTTGATGCCGCTGCTTCGGTTGCCCAATCCATCCAATGTCTTCTTCATTTGTCACAGTAGATACTACTGATGGGGGCGTGCTAGTAGTATGCTATCTTTTAAATCCGCTTCTCGTCTCTTGAAAGTGAGATCTATTACGGAGTTTGTGGAGTCGCGTTCGCTTGCATTCGAGCAACAGTCAATGAATATTTATAAAATTCAAGGAAGACGCATTCAAGGAGAGGACGGATAGTCAGTTTTGTAAACAAAATGCATATGAGGGTTCTACTCCCCTGTTCAATAGTCCGTAACTGTTCAGTTAGCGTTTTCTAATGAATACTCCTTTCAGTGGTAGTGACTAACAATCGCATAAAAAACGGACGACCTTATTAAAACTCGTGAGCACTCCAATTGTCATATCACCTTCATTTATTGGCCACGGATAGATCTTTGGTTAAACTTCAAGAACGATCCACTGTTGATTGTGTCTTGTCAGGTTGACTAACCTCATATATTTTTTGGTATCATGCCTCGACATGCCTAGTTTGAAATCGTCCGGATTTGTCAAATATTTTTTATAGCTCGCTTGTCAAATAAGTTCTGTTTCATCTGACTGATGTCCCCGATCGAGTACACTAGCCCTTGAAAAAGACTCGCCGAAAAGGAACACAACAGCTTTATTGCAAACCAGCGAGTGCAAAAGTACAAAGGCTTCACGCTATATTTTGAAAGGCACTATCTGGCCTTAATCCAAGGCTGTCTGGTCGGCGTTTAGTGGATTTTGAGGGTATCAGCAGGTTTCAGGTATTCTGGAATAATTGTCAGGAATCTGACCTTCTCGACGGGTTTGGTCCACTTTGCTTCGCGTTGCTTTTAGAAAGCCTCAGAGAGATCCAAACTGAGATGCGTGCTGCGGCCTCGCTCTGGCATGATACGCATTAAATGCACAACAAAACTATCGTTCTTGTAATAATGCAGGGAGTTACAACCGAAACAACCATATTTTCTTCCATTCATCGGAAAACTGGACCCGCAGACTGGCGATATTCTGTATTTCGATGGTTGATGCACCGGTAGGGCTTAGGGCAGGCTTACGCTGGCCCATCGAAGCTTTATCAAAGCCTAAAGTGCTCCCGTTTAAGTCTTGTTGGATGATCGAAACCTAATGACACTCGCAAAACAGTGAGACTGGACAAGATAACATGCACTCAGCCGCTGAGGATCCCTTTGAACCGGGCGAGAGCGGAATCTATATTGGTCTGGTGATGAGTGATCATCAACATACACTTTGATCCAGCAGAATTAGTTGACAGTTTTCAAAACAGCTCTTGATCCGATAAAGCTGACAGCTCAAAAGCAACTGAGAAGCATGGAGCAGTTTGACGCTTGCGGAAGGCAAAGATGGGACTACTGGAGGTAGTAAAGCGAGGAAAATAATCATACCTCATTGAGCCTTGGAGAATTCTGTGAGCTTGGAGGTGCAAAATGTCAACACAGTGATATAGGCTAGTACAGGTGGCTTCGACTCTAATGGCTTGTCTAGTGCATCTGCGATAGAGGAACCGCGGATAACCATAAACCACGTAGTGAAATGGCAGAGGTGCATGGTATCACAGCTTGTCCGCAGATTCGTTGAGGCTTGGAATGCTGACAGAGCGAAATACGCTTCTCTGCCAACCACATACAGTTCGTCAAATGAAATGCCGCTCATAAGATTTTGAGGATGAAGCGATCATTCATGTTTGCGAAATTAAAGGAAGCTGACAGAAGACGGAGTACTGTTGCCAACTAAGTGTTTATTTACCAGTTGGTAGGATACTGGCTCGTATCTAGTTCCGTTGTGAGTGGCTGGCTACTGCGTGCAACCAGCCAAAACTTTGCGGTAAGATAAGCACGGAGTAAACGTTATCAAATGAGTCCCCTTTAGTATGGATTGTGCCAAACTTTTCGTTGGCGCAAACAGACCCCAGTCCACCCCAAGGCTACCACACCAACTTCATCATAGATCACGTCGTTCAGTTCAGACTTTCATCTGATCTTATTCATAACCAATACTCATGTCGGAAACTTGCCCATATAGTTGATTGGAACTGGGATGATGAGTCTGTCAAAGAGCCTTCAGCAGCCTGAGTGTGTTCCGCCAATAAAATCTTTCCCCTCTCTTTGTGCCTCAGATTGGTCACAGTAAAAAGCAAACTAAAGCATTCAGTCAAAGATATCTTCCTTCCCCAGCACTTTCTCTTAGATCAGTCAACCAGCAGAACTTCACACACGTGTAGTTCTCCCATAAACAGTCCAAGTAACAAAACTGTTAATTCTTCCTGAGTTTTTAAAGTTACATTGTCCGAAAGAAATAGGGCAGTTTCAATAACGTTGCTGGTGTTATAACTCAAATTTAAGGATTATAACTATGCTCAATTCGCACCAAGTTGTTTAAGCAAGTAGGTGCTGCAGTGTTGCTTGAACGTCTTCTACACTCAGCTGGTGCTAAATAGAAAATTTAGAGTCTTTTCAACATGTTTGCAACGCAACGGGGCTTTCTTGTGGCTGAGTAAACTCGAGATTTCGAAATATTTTTGTCTTCCTAACTAGTGCTATCCACAGTGCGGACAAAATTACCACAAAACCTACTGCTAGCTTTGTTGACATGTTCGTTGGTCTCAAAGCGTTATTCCCCACTGTTGACATGTTCGTTGGTCTCAAAGCGTTGTTCTCAATACACTTCTGTCGCCTTATGCACAGCGTATCCAGCTGCTCGACGAATCTCGATTCCGGAATGTATGCGATACTGTGTTACGACAGTTGTACTCGGCTGGTTCACCATTTGACGCCAACGCTGAAGCTGTGCAGACGGACTACGTGGATGGATTGGTGGACTGCTTCAACGATCTAGCGCCCCTTTTAACCTGTACGGACCGGCATGCTCCATGTGTATGCCCGTTCCATGAGCATGTCTACACCTCCGTCTGTCGGACGTTGTTTGAGCTGTTCTGTGGAACTTGGTACGATTGTCTTCAGAGTCGAATCCAGACACTCGATACTTCCCAGTCCGGGTGAGTTATGTGGCGTTTTGCAAAACTGTCTTTTTTCCCTATCGATTTTTTTTTGAATTTTTCGGGTTGTCTGGGCGGATGTTCTATGCAGTTCCATATATATTTTCTGTCTAGCTTTGTCCTCATTGTCACGGTCAAATCAAATAAATTTAAAAAACAGAGTATTTCAGTGACTCGGAAATAGCAATTCCTAGAATTCTGTTTCCTATCACCGTACACACAGATCGGCGTGACTTGTTGCTGCTCTCTGACCAACCATTAGTTCATCATATTTTGTTGAGACTCTCACTGTGTCCAGGTGATCGTCATCAACTGAGCTGTTTGGATCACGTGATGACCACGTGATCGTCAAGCTGACTCGAAATATAGATGAAATTAGCGCAAAACTTTCAGCTGAAATTTTGGCAACAAGAATTGACCGGCATAATTTAATATGTTTGTTCCTTAGTTTGGAGAATGAGGGGGAAACCAATAAGTGAATGTACCTGTAACCCGATCAAAACCGATTACTGATGATGCGAGAAAATCTGTGAATTTCTTATTGAGATTTCACCCCGTAAGCAAAGCCAGTCTATGCTAAGAGGCCGAGAAGCATTTTACAGATGTTTCATCCTTATTGTATAGCAGTGACAGAAGGTGACTCGAAATATAGATGAAATTAGCGCAAAACTTTCAGCTGAAATTTTGGCAACAAGAATTGACCGGCATAATTTAATATGTTTGTTCCTTAGTTTGGAGAATGAGGGGGAAACCAATAAGTGAATGTACCTGTAACCCGATCAAAACCGATTACTGATGATGCGAGAAAATCTGTGAATTTCTTATTGAGATTTCACCCCGTAAGCAAAGCCAGTCTATGCTAAGAGGCCGAGAAGCATTTTACAGATGTTTCATCCTTATTGTATAGCAGTGCCAGAAGGTGAGGGTTTTCTTCCAACAATCCGTCTCACGTGGCGGACTGCCTAGCCCAAAGAGAGAGAGCCCAAGAGAGGAGGTAATAGAAATCCGATTATTAGAGTTCCTTGTGTTGGTGATAACAGTGGAAATATGAACCTGGACGTTGGATGATTGAACTCCGCTTCACCCGTCTGCTGAATCACAAAAGCGGGATTGATTGCCTTTTCATAAAGGAAACTACTCACAAGGTTGCTGAAATCTTTCTAACTATCGGAGAGTTTTCAACAATCTTGTGAGTAGTTGCTTTTATGAAAATACACCGTGACATCTCGAATATCGTAATACCTGAAACCTAAGGTGGCTTTTGTGTGGCACATTCAGTTGAAGAGTATCATAAACGGCTTAGTAAGTATCAGCCACTGAGTGAGAGTTTTATATCTTTGAGAACAATTATCCTACCGCTCATGCTCAGTCGAACTCACAGGGAATTTGATGCATGGGTAAAACCAGAAAAGAGAAAGTGGGTAATTGGTATCTTAAGCGAATACATTTTTTACTCAGTGATAGAACAACCAACCCTATACTATTCCAAAGGAGCTTCATGCACCGTCACCAAAATCGAAGTTTGTTTGCTCAGGCTCTGCCTTCCACTTCCACGTGTGGTGAAGTGTAACAATAGAATCTAACCCACGCATTAGGTGACTGAAGCGACTAACGCCCGAAGTATTGAACAGACTCACTAAAACCCGCTTGTCGGGGGGATGTTCCGTAATGCGGATACACGATAAGATCGTCCCATGGTTCACCTTCTAAAGTCTGTTCACTCAAGAATTATTGGCTAGACTCTGCCGGCTTCCTTACCTGTTCCATTTTGGCCGCTTTGTGCTGGAAGATGCCCACCTGCTAATGTTGCTAGCTGTGTCTAACCAACCCCCCATTATTAGTTCATCGAGTCTATCCGTTGCGAAACCACTTCGTGTAAACCCGATGCGTCAGCAGTTACGATGTGGTGCTGACCTAAAAGTTTCACACACAGAACTCACCAGCTACTCCAGATATGCTACATTACTCATCAGAATATCCATAGCTTTGTGAGCCTCAGGAGCGGCGGTGTGGTCTTGGCGAGAGAAAAACCTCTCACACAACCTACCTATCGTTTTCTTTCGACACCACCTTTAATCGGTACACCAAACTTCTGTTATAGTCTGCAGTAACATACTAACAGTCTGAATCATTGTCATTCGTTAGAACAACTCCTCGGATCCGAAACATTTTGCCTTTGGTCTTGGATAACCTTGGCTCCGCCAATGCATTGATTGTTGCTTGGTCTCAGGTTCATACAGTAATTATGCTTCACCACCGACTTGATGACACTGCTGAAAATAAACTTGGAAATGCTCACTCGATATCGTTTCTCGTCAACATTCAAAGGTTCCGGTGGTCACTTGGCTGATAACTCTCTCATACACAGATGTTCACAAGTTATTAGCTAAACACGTTCCGTGGATAGCTCAAGATCCTGTTCAATACGTTTCACCGATATTCGACGATCTCCGAGAATCGTATCACCGATATGCGCAGCCGTTTGCGGAGTTGAAACCGTCTGAGAGTAACATATCTCATTAGAAATCGGCCCCTGCACACTTTTCAGTGGTTTTCAGTGGTGTGGAAATCTGGTACTCGATGTTTACACCGTGTATTCTTGTTCTTCTTTTCCAAATCAACCTGCACGAATATGAACTTCTTGAACTCTGGGAATTTCACATGGCATATCCTGTTGACATGGGTAACTCTGTCATCTGAAAACAAGGTGAACACAGAGTAGCGTGATTTTGCGATTTGGCGTTTGAGATTGTTAAGGAACGATGGGCAGCCGAATGACCCTTTGTTGTTCTATGTCACTGATTTTGTTTTTATCACCTATATGTGTTACTGCTCACAACTATTGAGTAATCATACGTTTTTCAACCATATACATCAATCTCTGCTCAACCAATCAGCTTCAGCAGGTACTTTCTTTGACACAACTGTTGGTTAGTCATATTTTATTTGCCTAATGGGGTCGACAAAGGTGTATTTTAAGAGTACCCGGCACTGTGCCGATATGCGGCTAACCGTCTTTTTTCCTCAGAAACTCTAGAAATCACGTGTTGTCATCCATTCTGCCTGAAGAATTAGTTTGTTATGCCGTTGCCGCGTTTTCTCCTAGTACTTAATCAAAACACCCACCATGTTTAATGACGTCCCATTTGCTTGGATTACTAACAATTCTTGGGAAGGGCGAAACCGGTTGTGGGCTGTCGACGGATTTTCAGCAACCTTATGAGTAGTACATTACAAAGATATACATGCATCGCGTTATCTCGAATATCGTAGCGACTGAAACATGAGGTGGCCTGGTGCAGCACATCACAAACGAGTGATTCAGCCTGGTTCCAGGTGAGCCTCTTGAGAAAAACAAATTAGTTTGCAAATGTGTGTATATTCGCTAATTTCGTGCAATTTGGTTCTAGGTAGAATATAAGGTTGACAGTAACCCGAGGACTGCGCCTACCTGATGAGCCTTAAAAAGGGCGAAACCAGTCGTGGGCTGTCGACGGATTTTCAGCAACCTTATGAGTAGTACATTACAAAGATATACATGCATCGCGTTATCTCGAATATCGTAGCGACTGAAACATGAGGTGGCCTGGTGCAGCACATCACAAACGAGTGATTCAGCCTGGTTCCAGGTGAGCCTCTTGAGAAAAACAAATTAGTTTGCAAATGTGTGTATATTCGCTAATTTCGTGCAATTTGGTTCTAGGTAGAATATAAGGTTGACAGTAACCCGAGGACTGCGCCTACCTGATGAGCCTTAAAAAGGGCGAAACCAGTCGTGGGCTGTCGACGGATTTTCAGCAACCTTATGAGTAGTACATTACAAATTCTTGGGATTCTCCAAGCGTAACACACCCAATCTGAGGGCTGTGACCGGTTTTACCTTTCACGACGGTCAAAATGGAGCGATCCAGCTGAGTTCAGCTGAATCTCCTGTCAAAACCAAATTCATCTGAAAATGAGAGTAATTGTCGAATTTCTCGTAGTTGCTCATCCCTTCACTTTAGGTGGACACATCAAATCCCGGCTTTTGTTTGGCTTGATAAGCTGGTTGTCCGGATAGATTTGAACTTATGTGCGTACTATCAGTTTGGTTTTGTTTGCCCAACATTTTTGTTCAATTTAATCATCTTCAAATCGGATTAACCGGTCAATCTGCATGATGTTGAGTGGGATGAGGGGAGTGGATCTTTCACATGGACTCGGAGAAATTGGGTTCATGTGGTCGAATACAAACATCACAGTTGACCAGTAAGTGTGTCGTTTGGAATAACATCAAATTTTCTAAGTTTAATTAGCTTTATGCTCGCTTGTAGTTTCGAATGAAGTCTGTTGTCAATTTGATTTGCTCAAATGGACTGATTGGATTTCCAGTTTGCTGATTTAACGGGGTGTGTGAATATATTTTTTCTCGATGGCGGATTGCTTTTATTTCAGTAACATCTTCATGGGAAGCGTTTCATTATGAACGTTAAAGAGATTTTATAATACACCACCGAGATCTTGAAGCTCTGGAGAGAAGAAACGGTGTTTAGGATTGATCGTCCTACTTAATCGTTTCAGAAAGCTTCGATAAACAATCGGTGAATATTTTTGTTTGTTTATTTACCAAGCCCTTCTGATACGATAATTTCTTAACCGTCGTAAGGATCGTTATACACATGACCTGTCACCTCCAGCTTCCATAAGATTGTTTTTGTGCAAGACCAAATCATTCACAACGAAAATAGATGTTCTCATGACCACTAGGCCACTTTCCCATTATCCGTAGAAGTTCTGATCTCACGTCTGGATAGAAACAAGGTGACCGGATGAAATTTCAAAGCGTATACAGAGACCTTGTCAGCCAGTTTATGTGGGGTTTGAATGTTACATGAATGAATTATCTCTTTGCAGTAGAATTAAGACGACAGGAGCTTCATTCGTTTCCCGCCTCCAAGAAGTAGGGTGCTGGCTAAGAGGCGTCCCAAAAAAATTCACTGGCCGGAGGCCAGTAATTTTTC